TACTGTTCGTTATATTTATATGGATACATTAGTTTTGATAATTTATATATGTTTGTTGGTGAATTTTTACTTCTTATCATAATTACGGTTGTTAATTTATTCAAGTTCACTTTTTTCATAAGAAGTTTTTTCTTTTTTACCTATTAGAACTTTTCTAAGAGATATGACACATTTTTGACTGTTCAATCGCACATGAATAATGTCGAATTCTAAATCGATACTAAACCGAACTGCGTATATCTTTAATTTGTGAATATTAGCGATAATTATTTTGTAATACTATTAATTCCATTATGTTTTTAATATCTGAAGAGGGCTCAATCCGGTAGCCGAAACTTGTAATGTTTTAATTTATTTTTACCTTTATTGTTTCTTATTATACATCTTTTCTTCTTTTTTATCTTCTGTATTTTAATTAATTTTTTTAATTATATGACTTTTTAAAGAAATGCGCTGACTCTTACTTTGCCCTTTATTTATTGTTATTTATTTTATATACGAAGAATCCTTATATTTTTGTTATTCGTTTATTATCACATACAACATCTTATCGCGACACTCTATGTGTCTCGCGTACTCTATGGTTAAAGAATGAAGCGAAGAGAATATCTAGATGGGAAATTCAGTATCGTGTTCGTGAGAGCGCGCCATCTGGTCGCGGAGTGTGTGAGTCTAAACGAATATAAGGCATGGTTGAAGTATAACTGAAAGAGTGTGAGTGTGTGTGTGTGTGTACGGAAGTGTGAATGTGTCTCCACAAAATATATATCTATTTCATTTAAAGTTCCAAAAGTGTACACTTGTTCAATCACAACAAGCAGTCTTTATTATTATTAAAGAAAGTAAAAAAAAGTGTATACTCTCTGTTATTTAGAAATATATACGCTTTGTTATTTGTAAATATATGAATATATGTACGAAATATTTTTGAAATGTGACAGAAGGGACAACAGATAGCCATTCCCTCTTCCTCCCGGAGTCTCTAATCACGCTCGCGCAAACTACGTGCCCGTGAAGAGCGGCGCTTTATGATCAGTCCGGCTTTTGAAGAAATATGGCGGATGTCGAGGTGAGCGAGTCACGTGGAATACGAGAAAATTCTTGTATTACTTCAACGTCGCTGCGTTATTATAATAGATACGTTTTTTGTTGTAGCTAGCAAAAGCTTTGAAGGATTTACCAAATCGAGTTCAGACCGGCAGTAAGAAGGAGCGGCGTGAGATTTTGCAAAATGTCGCCAGCGTATTGTCAAATCCCGGTAAGGAGACACGTATTATTTTTTGATGAGAGATAAAATGACACGTACGGCGATGCTATGAAAATACGAAGACAGATTCGTTTTTCGACGTCGCCGTCGATTCGTCGCTCTGTGATTTATGCATGATTTTGACAAAACTATCATTTGTTTGGAACGATCTGGAGTAGTTTATTTACAATGTCTTTTTAATTATTTTACCAAATATCTTTCTTTTCTTATCTTAGTTCTCAACTGTTTAAAATCTAGCCGAAAGATTATCGTTACAAATTATATGTATGATATGTGTGAGAAGTTTGACAACTCCAGTAATTATTTCGTTAAACATTATTAAAGACATCTAACATATTTTTATGGAAATTATTATTATGTAACACATATGACGTATTTAAAAAATATATTTTAAAAATATATTTAAAAAAATATATTTTATATATTTTAATCAAGTAATTTGCTGCAACTGTTAATGGGATTTAAAATATTTCCATTAAATATTGTCAAAGATATCATGATATATTTCTGTAAAAATTATGTAATAAATATTTGAAAAATACATTTAATATATTTGAATTAAGTGATAAGTTTGTTGCAACTGTATTGTGTTCTATATAATTTAACTCAATTATAACAGCATATAAAAATTTATTTTCTTGAAATAGTATATAGAATATTTTAGAAATGAATATTTTATAACATTGAATTATAATTTTTTGTAAATAATTTTTTCACGTCAGAAATTAATTTCATATATATGTTAAATCTTAATAACATGCTTTCTAATAGTATTCTTTTAATAGCATGCTCAATTTATTATCTGTGAAATAAATAAAAATCTCTTGTTTATCTTTTAGTGAAGGATTTAGATTTATTTACATTATTGGACTAATTACAGCTTAAAAATATTAAATATATAAATGCAAATTCTTCATTTTTAATATTCAATTCTGAAGTGGATTTGTTATTTTCTTACAAGAAAGTAACAAATAAAATATTCTGTGTATATAATTTGATTGATTTTAGGGAAAAGATATTATGATATACAACACCTTTATCTAAAAAAATTTTTGTTCATGTCATCAAAAATTATATCTATTACATATTAGGCTACATTGGAAATTATAAATTATTTATATATGAAAGCTATGAATTATTTATTACAGGCATTAATGACAAAATTGTTAATGGAATCTGTAAGGTGGTATCACTTACTCTACATAGATATAAAGATAGTGCTTCTCAGTCCTACGTGAAAAACCTAATTGTAGAATTAATTAAACAACAACCAGATGCTACTATCAAACATATGACAACTGTAATTTCGGAGCAAGCTACCTGGCATAAGAATGTGGTTGCAACGTAAGTCGAATTCAAGAATAAATTTTCTATTAGTTATCTACTTACAATAATATTTTTCTAAAATGGTTCTTTTAGGTTGAACACTGCTCTAACTGCGTATATCGCATTAAAGTGGTCAACTTTACTTATTTTTCATGGATATCACGAACATTTAATTCAAATGGATGAATCTTTAGCAAAGCTCATTGAGGCACAAGCAAATTTATCTGCTGCAACTTTAGCGTCTGCAGATAAAAAACTTGCTAACAAGGTGTATACGTTACTCGCACACGAATGGAAAGCCATTATAGATATAGAACCTTATGTTACACATTTAATAAAATTGGAGCTTGGTAATGGTATAATTATTTTAGCCAGTTTACTTACAAAATATTTAGTTGCTACAAAAAAGAGTGATTTGGTGGAGCATTTGAAGGTAAGAGACAAGGGTATACATACACATAAACACATAATTTTTTAATAAATTTTCTATATTGTGTTTTTTTCTAAATTTCAGATAAACATGATAGATGTTTTTATAAAAGTGACAATTAGTTGTAAGAAGAAACCAGATTTGTACGTAGTCGATGCAGCTGTGCCACTTCTTCGGAGATTAACTCACGAGGAATTCAAAACTCAATTACTTCCCGCTTTACAAAAAGCTATGTTGCGAAATCCAGAGATCATAATCGAATCAGTTGGGCACATTTTAAATGGATTGAGTCTTGACCTGAGTCAATATAGTCAAGAAATAAGTAAAGGATTATTTGCCAATCTACATTCTAAGGAGGATTTGGTCCGAGATGAAGCAGTTGAAGCATGCCGCAAACTTGCTACACAGTGTTCCGATACGACGGCTGTGGAAATATTGTTATCGTCCATATTTGCAGTATTTCATGGATCGGAGGGTAAACTCACGGTCGCTACACATAAGATATCTGTTCTGCAAGGTGCTGGCAATCTCAGTTACAATGTGGCTTCGAATAGCAGCGTATAGAAATTAGCCGAAACGACTTGTGAGCATTTTGTTAAAGTCTCGAGACCGAAGTTCACGAGAAGACACTGATACACGCTCTCGAAATGATGGCACTGTGGTCAAAGAAATTCTCGTCTAATGTACCAAAAATTGTTGTTGACGCTTTTAAAAAGGGCATGGCGGCGAAAACGTCCACTGCTGCAGTGCGTACTGCCTATATCAAGTTATTCTTCTCGATTTCCGCCTCTTCGTACTCGGACGTGATAGCACCGATTCTTGCGCAGGCAATAACAAGAGCTACTCAGCAATGCGCGCAACCAGCGGCGGTAACCGAAGGTTTGGTCGCTTCGTATTTGCTACTCAAATTCGTATTAGCTGACCAAGTGGAGAATGACAAACAGAGCGTGTTATGGAATGCGATAGACGAGCAAATATTCTTTTCCGAAAAATTTCTGTCGACGTGCAGCGACGATATTTTGTACCATCTTATATTACTCTGTGAACGTCTTATCACTGAATTTTCCGATAAATTGAACGAGAAAGCTCTAACTGGGATTCATCGAGCGATCGTGTCTTGCGCCACTGCCCCAAATTCTACGACAAGACAACGGTGTTCTCCGTTAGTCAAGAAAATTATGACCGGTTTGAGCACGTACGCGCCAGCGCAGGCATCGTTAACAGAGTTTAACAAATTTTTGGAAAACGTTAAAATCAGGTCAGAATCAGATAAAGAAAATAAAGAAGACGCTTCAATGGGAGAGATTACTGGCAGGTGTCTCGCTGATGGATTGTTTGCCATATGCTCAGGTTCCTTCTTATTCGAAGCACATGCCTATCAAATGACCAGAGATGCTCTGCTTCCATCTCATCACCCGGCGCTGCTCAAAGCCGTACCAAATTTATGGTTTAAAATTGCCAAGAATTACAATCTTGTACCAAAGGATTTCTTACGTATCTACAGCAACGAAGTGAGGAAGATGTTAATCCAGAATTATAAACCGGTGCCGAACTACGAAAATGCACTTATAAAAATTGTATCACTTGCACCGGATGCTTTTCTACCCGCTCTAGTGTCGAACGTTACGAGCAAACTTGATGATCCAGAGATCTTACGAGTTACGAAGGACGAATATTTCACGTATCTTACTCCCGAGGGAGAGCTCTACGATAAGAGCGTATTGCCCGTTAATGATGAGAACGATATCCTTGGTTCTATGAATATGAAAAGAGAAAGTAAAGTTTACTCATTTAAGGAACAGCAAGAGGAGCTACAACTACGGCGCGAGTTATATGAGAAACGAAAGAGAGAAGGCAAGATAAAGGAACCAAAGTTAACGCCTAAACAAGAAGAAACTATAAAGGCACAGATTGCGAAGGAGAATGGTATTCGCAAGAGATTAACCGAATTAAAAGCTAAGATAGATAACACTGTATCCCTAGTAGCATGCTCGATACGCGGCAATCAGCAAGAGTTATCTTTGTACTTAAAGGATCTTCTACCAACCATTTTGAAGAATCTAGGTTCTCCATTGGCAGCACCCGAGATGTCAGAGCTTTATGTATCTCTTCGCCAAACAGTGACGATAGATAATAGTACAATTCTAGGTGATCTTATTGCTCACGTTACGCTGCGACAGTTGCAACCGCAGTGCGACTTGGACCAATCTTGGGAAGAAGAAAATTTAGATGTGGCGGTTAAAAGAACGTTAAATCTTATACATGCAGTGACGATCAAGAAGAAGGAATTGTTCACGGCGCCTGCATTCTGTTACGTTTTTCCCTTTATAAGGAAGACTTTGACATCATATAAGGACGAGGGCATGATCGTACAAGGACTGCAATTGATTCAAGAACATGCTAAGCAGAGAGGCAGCACTACCGATTTAAAAGATCTCAGGCATCCCAGACTTTTACCACGCAAGCAAATGTTCGATTTGCTTATTGAACTTATGGAGACCACCACGAGCCGAGTGCAGTCTCATGCGGTAGCGACTTTGCTAGATGTCGCACAGTCTGGCAGCGGTCAACCGGGTACGGCAATCGCCACTAGCGAGGACATAGACTCGTTGATTGGCGCATTACAGAATTCATTGTCGACCGTGAGAGACGCGGCTCTTAGAGGATTAACGGTGATACGACAGGCCTTCCCGTCTCAGAAAGAGGATCAGGATCAGCTCAATAGACTCACAAGGAGAGTGTGGATCGCTCAATTTGACGTAAATGACGAAAACAAGATCCTTGCTAACGAATTGTGGAACGCGGCTGACTTTACCGCGCAAGCGGAGGTCCTCTGCGAAGAACTGATTCAGGATATCGCTCATCCAGTCGAACCAGTGCAACAAGCGGCCGCACACGCGCTAGCCCAGAGCTTGGCCAACGTACCACATCTAACGCCAACTGTGTTAGATAGCCTGTTACAATTATATCAGGAGAAATTGGCTATGATCCCACCAAAGTTGAACGATTTTGGTCGTGTTATCGAACAGCCGATCGACACATGGGGTCCTCGGCGCGGAGTAGCGCTCGCTCTCGCTCAAATAGCGCCGCTTCTCACCGCCGACACGGTGCATCGACTTATTCAATTTTTCGTTCTAACTGGACTCGGTGATCGAAATCAATCCGTACGCACTGAGATGCTTACAGCTGCTGTCGCAGCGGTCGACCTTCACGGCAGTGCGAACATTACGTCACTGCTACCAGTTTTCGAAAACTTCATGGATAAGGCCCCAAAGATTGGCAGTTTCGACTCGATCAAGCAATCGGTGGTGATCCTCATGGGATCCCTGGCAAGACATTTGGACAAAAACGATCCGCGAATCAAACCTATTGTGATGCGCCTCATTGCGGCACTCTCCACACCATCTCAGCAAGTACAGGAAGCCGTAGCTAATTGTCTGCCGCATCTGACAGACGCCATTAAGGAGGACGCACCGAAAATTGTAGACAATCTAATGGATCAGTTGCTGAAATCAGACAAGTACGGAGAGCGTAAGGGTGCAGCATACGGATTGGCAGGGCTTATCAAAGGTATGGGAATTCTCGCGTTGAAGCAACTGGACATTATGAGCAAACTAACTCATGCTATCCAAGACAAAAAGAACTACAGACATCGCGAAGGTGCATTATTTGCGTTCGAGATGCTATGTACAATGCTTGGAAGATTGTTCGAGCCTTATATCGTTCATGTACTGCCACACTTGCTGTTGTGCTTTGGCGATTCGAGTCAGTACGTGAGAACCGCTACCGATGACACTGCCAGAGTAGTTATGAGCAAACTTTCTGCCCATGGCGTCAAACTTGTTCTGCCAAGTCTACTGGCGGCACTGGAAGAAGATTCGTGGAGAACGAAAACAGGTAATTAAATGCAATATTGTTTATTCTGTTAATAATTAAGTAAGTAAACAACTGAAAACATTTTTGTAATGTGAATTTTAATCTCATACAACTAGATTTCATTAGTCTTTCTATTTTTATTTTTACAATATATTTTGATATATGAGACTAAGTGCTATAATCTTGGCTTTTGACAAAAAGAAATTCTATATGGATCTTGGTTTTCTCCTGATTTTATTATAGTTACCATTTTTAAGGAAGAAGTTGAAGCTTCTTATCTAACTTGTATGCTCTAAAACTGAGTTTTGCTTTTAAATTTATTATTTAGAAGTTTCTTGTTTTTCAAGACCGAAGTATAGCGATTTATTTATCCTCAATTATCTTGAGATTAATGTATATTTTGAATATTTTGTTTTTTTTTTCTATTATAGTTGAATATTTTCTTACGTAATATCATGTGGATTGATAATTCCAGGAATTGAACTTGTAATTTGTTGCTTGACAATCGAATGATTTGATATTGAGTTATTCAGCATCCCAAAATTACTATTGTTGCTCGTGTTTAAAATACATTTGTTTTGGAAAACAATATTATTTAATTTAAAGATAAAGAACAATTATACTGAGATTTAAAATTCATGTATCTCATTTTTAGGATCTGTCGAGTTACTTGGCGCTATGGCGTACTGTGCACCAAAACAGTTAAGCAGCTGCCTGCCAAGTATCGTCCCAAAATTGATAGAAGTGCTCAGCGATTCTCATACAAAAGTACAAGAAGCCGGCGCAGAAGCGCTCAAGGTCATCGGAAGCGTCATCCGCAATCCGGAGATTCAAGCTATCGTGCCTGTGTTGTTAAAAGCGCTACAGGATCCCTCACATAAAACAGCCACTTGCTTGCAAACATTACTGGATACGCAATTTGTACATTTTATCGATGCTCCATCGCTAGCTTTGATCATGCCTGTTGTACAACGCGCGTTTCTCGATCGTTCAACAGAAACTAGAAAGATGGCCGCGCAAATCATTGGCAATATGTACTCCTTAACAGATCAGAAAGATCTGACTCCATACCTGCCGACTATTATTCCAGGTCTGAAGACAAGTTTGCTTGATCCAGTGCCCGAAGTACGTAGTGTATCGGCGAGAGCGCTGGGTGCAATGGTACGAGGAATGGGCGAGTCTAGCTTCGAAGATCTACTACCTTGGTTGATGCAAACACTGACTTCCGAAACTAGCAGTGTCGACAGATCTGGAGCTGCCCAAGGTCTCTCCGAAGTGGTGCGCGGACTAGGAGTCGAGAAACTTCACAAACTTATGCCCGAGATCATTAGTACCGCAGAGAGAACTGATATCGCTCCCCACGTTAAGGATGGATACATTATGATGTTCATATATATGCCGAGTGCATTTACCACAGAATTCACTCCATATATTGGACAGATAATCAATCCTATATTGAAGGCATTGGCCGACGAGAACGAATACGTACGGGAAACTGCATTAAGGGCAGGACAACGTATCGTTACACTTTATGCTGATTCAGCTATAATGCTGTTATTACCGGAACTGGAGAAGGGTCTCTTCGACGATAATTGGCGTATCCGATATTCGTCTGTGCAACTATTGGGCGATCTACTTTATAGGATCTCTGGTGTATCGGGCAAAATGTCAACCGAGACCGCGAGCGAAGATGATAACTTTGGTACAGAACAATCACATTATGCTATTATAAATGCTTTGGGTGCGGAGAGACGAAATCGTGTTTTGGCCGGACTATACATGGGACGATCGGACGTGGCTCTTATGGTCCGTCAAGCAGCTCTCCACGTTTGGAAGGTAGTGGTAACGAATACACCGAGAACGCTACGAGAAATATTACCAACGTTGTTTACTCTTTTGCTGGGATGTTTGGCGAGCACGAGTTACGACAAAAGGCAGGTAGCCGCTCGGACGTTGGGCGATCTCGTTCGGAAATTGGGAGAACGAGTATTGCCAGAAATCATACCGATTTTGGAAAAAGGTTTACAGAGTGATCAAGCCGATCAGCGTCAAGGAGTATGCATAGGTCTGTCGGAAATTATGGCGAGCACCAACAAAGATATGGTCCTTACCTTTGTCATTAGCCTCGTGCCAACGGTGAGGTAAGTATAATCATCTTTAAAACGATAACAATCAAAACATATAATCAGGCATTTAAATAAGGACATCCTAATCCTGTTTTAGAAAAGCACTGTGCGATCCGTTGCCGGAGGTTCGACAAGCTGCTGCCAAAACTTTCGACGGCTTACATTCCACGGTGGGTGTTCGTGCCCTCGATGATATATTGCCGGCAATGTTGACGCAATTGAACTCGCCCGACCATGCAGAGGCAGAGAACACTTTGGACGGTTTACGTCAAGTGATGGCGATCAAGTCGCGCGTTGTATTGCCGTATCTAGTCCCACAATTAGCCTCACCGCCGGTTAACACAAAAGCACTATCGATACTGGCCAGCGTGGCAGGTGAAGCATTGACAAGATTCCTCCATAGGATTTTACCAGCATTACTCACTGCTCTTTCTAGTGCGCAAGGAACGGCAAACGAACTGCAGGAGTTAGAGTATTGTCAGGCTGTTGTTCTTTCCGTCACCGACGAAGTAGGCGTCAGGACCGTGATGGATCAGTTAATGGAAGCCACAAGAGCGGAGGATCTCTCGAAACGGCGGAGCGCCGCGACATTGCTTTGCGCGTTCTGTCGTGACACTCGCGCCGATTATAGTCAGTATGTCCCGCAATTGCTTAGAGGTTTAATTCACTTATTCACCGATGAAGACAGGGATGTGTTACAGATGAGTTGGGAGGCACTTACAGCCGTCACAAAGGTAAACATATAGATCGAAATGCGTGATAACTCGAACATTAAAATTAATATAACATATACAAGAATATGAAAACTGTTAAAAACATATTATATTATAATAATTCGTTCTTAAAATAATATTAACATTTTTAATTGTTCTTTCAATTGTTTTACTTCTTACAGACTCTTTCATCTGATCAGCAAATAGCGCATGTACAGGACATTAGGCAAGCCGTTCGGTTTGCGGTGTCTGATTTGAAAGGTCAAGAATTATTACCCGGATTTTGTCTTCCCAAGGGAATCACACCGATTTTACCGATCTTCAGAGAGGCAATACTGAATGGCTTGCCGGAAGCAAAAGAACATGCAGCTCAAGGGTTGGGAGAAGTTATAAGATTGTCCAGCGCGGCCGCGTTGCAACCGAGCGTCGTACACATTACCGGTCCGCTTATCCGAATTCTTGGTGACCGTTTTAATTGGAGCGTTAAGGCAGCCGTCCTCGAGACGCTTGCTATATTACTTGGGAAGGTTTGTATGATTGAATATAATTTTTGTCGTTACTAAGAGATTTTACATTCCATATTATATGGTTTGCAAATGAAACGAAGAATGCATATAATACATTGTCTTTTAACATTCTAGTAAAGATTCTTCTGGTTCGAAATTGTTGATTTACCTTGCTTATAGGTTGGCGTTATGCTGAAACAATTCTTGCCGCAATTGCAAACTACATTCTTGAGAGCTTTGAACGATAGTAATCGGCAGGTCAGATTGAAAGCAGCTTATGCTCTTAGCAATCTGATTGTCATCCATACACGTGTTGATCCTTTATTCACTGAACTTCACACTGGCATCAAAACAGGAGATGATCCAGCGATAAGGTAATTCTAATCTGTGGATATATCCTTCAAGTATTGAAATGTTTTGCAAGAATTTATAATATTATTCCAAATACAGGGAAACAATGTTGCAAGCTCTCAGAGGTGTACTGACCCCGGCTGGCGACAAAATGACTGATCCTATGAAGAAACAGGTGTTTGCAACGCTCAGCAGCATGCTTGGTCATTCAGAGGATATAACGAGGAATGCAGTCGCTGGTTGTTTCGGCGCTCTTTTGCGATGGTTAACTCCGGAGCAATTAGCGGTTGCATTTAATGATCATCTCTTATGTAAGTTCACGAAGAATATAATGTAACTTAAATTGATAATAATTATTTACAATAATTATTAATATACGATTGATATTCGATTAGGTAACGATGTTAATGCCGACTGGATGCTCAGGCATGGACGTTCAGCTGCGCTTTTCGTAGCACTAAAGGAATCACCTGACACGGTATACAATCCTAAAGAGAAGGATCGTGTTTGCACAGTGATACTTTCCTATTTGGCTGCTGATAGAGTACAGATTGTCATGAACGGCGTACGAGCGTGTGGATATCTATTTCAGTATCTTATGAATGAATCGCAATCAATACCACAGCAAATTTTGTCGCCTTTTGTGAGGGTAAGTTCGAGAAGAACATTTGTTATATCTATATATATAAGATTCAATAAATAAATTGCTGATAATGATATCTAAAAAGACACATAACATGAAATATTTAACATTAAGCATAATAATTATATCTTATAATATTAAATCAATATTACTGTAACTTTTAGTCGATGAATAATAACAGCAACGATGTGAAGCAACTACTCGCCCGAGTTTGCATTCATCTCGCGCGTAACATACCACCTGAAAATATGTCACCTGAACTGCTCAGGGCACTTTTGCCAATGTTGGTAAACGGCACGAAAGAGAAGAACGGATATGTCAAAGCAAACAGCGAGCTCGCACTTATCGCAGTGCTTCGGCTGAGACAGGGCGAAGAAGAACATCAGGTTAGTTGCTATTTCCTAATCGGTACAAAACTTATTTAATTTTTTTTTAAGTGATTGTTTTTCTTATATGTAATTATTTTTTCATGTAAAATGTTAGTAATAATAATTTTGTCCACCTTCTTTCAGCGTTGCATGGCTTTCTTGGACGCTGGTGCAAAAGAGTCTTTGTCTGATGTGGTCAGCAAAGTGTTGCGTAAAGTTCTCTCTCAACCGGAGGGCAAAATAGAGGAATTGGATGATACGTTACTCACGTGAGAGATATTGTACTTCCCGGGGCTTATTACGCACTATACCCGTTCCAATAATCGTATTACTCGTCATTATTCGCCCGACTCCTATAAAGAAGAGAATTATCGTTCATGTATCAGCTGCATTATGAACAAATTAGCTCGTTCAACATTGTATCTCGATAAACAATTAAAGAGCGTGAAGCGGAACTGTCGCTCAATGGCGTTCAAGTTACTTAAACTAAGATGTCCTGAATATATCAAACGATTCGAACTAGAATTGTACATACTTTTACGAAAGATGTTTTCTATGATTCATATAACGGCCGCCTGACATCTAACGCTCTCAACGTCGATAATCGCACCAGCGTTTTCCCACTTAAAAGATCATAGGTGACAGTCTGTATCTCTCTATTATCGAGATTTCTTTGTGTTGAAGAAGAAACAAGATATATTGTTTAAGTCCTTACGTTTTGTTCATAATCGCATTTATGTTAAACATAATCACATTATGAAATTTTTTATAGACTTAACATCGTTGTACTATATATACGTTGTATTAAAAATTAATTTTTCATTTATTGTAAGAAAAAAATATTTGAAAATCTACACGATTAACTTGTAGAATGATGAAGCCAGTTCATAATAATTCGCTCATATAACTACGAGGCTGTATAGGAAATGCTCGCTTGCTTCTGTTAGATTTATTTATTTTGTTTGCACTTTCTGTACTGTTGCAGATGTATAAACTCGTTTACGTATTAGCAGAAGTGGTACCATTTGCTTTAAGGGTATAGCTGCGTATTTGAATTCTTTTAGTATATATAGTCGATATTAAGAAAGAACGGAGAGTGCAAGATTAAGTCAAAAGATGGTGACCTTTTTAGTTAAAGGTGTTCTCTTGAAAATTGATTGTTAATATAAATTATTTTTAACATCTCATTTTTTTATACAGATAATTTTTCTATATTATTGCCTTTATAGAAAAAAATGTGACGAAGCGTAGTAATAATAAAGAGATGTCTTAAAAATTATAGAGACAGAAATATAAAGGATAATATAAAAAAATAATTAATAGTGATTGAAATTGAATATATATTATCATTTCTATACCAGCGATGTTGTTACTCGTGCAAATATTTGAAAGAATTGTATGTAACAAAGATAGTTCTTCGGTAAAAATATCTAACTCACAGAACTCTAATAATAATATTACATCAATATTATAATTGATAACAAACATAACAATATAAATGTAATAACACATGTATAACATGTGCTAACAATTACATTGTTAAGTAGAAAATTATAACATTGATGTAATGTTATTGTAATGTATGTTGTTTGTGTTTTGTAGATAATAATTCAATATTAAATTTCGGCGCTCGGTACAATCGTCGAGCTAGCTAATCGTTTTAACAATTTCCATTTTTCTGTACCTAGTCCTGAAAAAAAAAACAACTATTCTGGAAGAATCCCCCGGGATGTGATTGTAGAAGATACAAGTAATGCAAAACTTATTAAGAAAATTTACAATGTGGCTTTATTATTGT